TGGGCTGTCATTCAGCTCTTATGTTAAGCACATATTTTGAGTGTACCTTTTTTTTTTTTTAATTTTTTACCTATTTAAAGTACATTGACTTTTTTTTTTAATTTTTTTTTATAGAGGCATGTGTTATTTATTTATTTGTTTGTTTTGTTTATACATGCACTGGGTACAGTCAGAAGCGCGGGAGGGTGAGAGAATTCACCAGAGCCAGAGCGGGGAGCAGAGCAGGCAGAAGGACCGAAGTACACTGCTGAGGGGAGCAGCGGGCGGCAGGAGAGGTCAGCGCGCCATGTGGGACCCACCTCCGGTGGCCGGGGAGCAGCCGGGGAACGAACCGGCGCTGCAGAGGCCGCGGGCAGCTTCGCAACTCAGTGCTCAACCGCTGCGCCACCAGGGAGGCCCCAAATTATAACTTTTAATTCTGGTAAAATAACTTTCCTCCAGTGTAGCTCCACTTATTGTTACATGTATTAGATGTATAAGCCTAACAATAAAGTGTTTTAATCATTGTTTTATCCAAGCTTGTCTTTTAAAGTATTAGGAAAAGAGGGAGCTATATTTATGAATATTGTATACTTAATTACATATTTACCATTTTTAGTATTCTGTAGATTTGAATTACTGCCTAGTGGTATTTTCTTTCATCCTAAAGGACATCTTGAGCTTGTGTGGGCAGCAGTAGCCAGAGTTAAGAATGTCATAGGTTCCTGCGGTTTCTATATCAGCAGTATTTTATTAATAAACACATCTTAGTTTATTAGTATTTGGTCCAGTTTTGGAACCCTGAAGCATCTGTTTTTTACAGTTTTGTCTGGTTTTATACTTGTTTTCTTGGGACAGAATTTAACAAACTCTTTACGTTTTTACAAAATATGGACAATTTCTTTTTTATGGTAAAATATATATAAAATTGGCTAATGTAACTATTTTTAAAATACAGTTCAGTGAGGGCCTCCCTGGTGGCGCAGTGGTTGAGCGCTGGGTTGCGAAGCTGCCCGCGGCCTCTGCGGCGCCGGTTCGATCCCCGGCTGCTCCCCGGCCACCAGAGGAGGGTCCCACATGGCGCGCAGACCTCTCCTGCCGCCCGCTGCTCCCCTCAGCAGTGTACTTTGGTCCTTCTGCCTGCTCTGCTCCCCGCTCTGGCTCTGGTGAATTCTCTCACCCTCCCGCGCTTCTGACTGTACCCAGTGCTTGTGTAAATAAATAAATAAATCTTTTAAAAAAAAATACAGTTCAGTGATATTAAATACATTATGATGTTCTGTAATCATTACCACTATTCATATCCATATCTCTCTTCACCTTGCTGAACTGAAACTCTGTACACTTTAAATAATTACACCCCCATGAACCCTTCCTCTGATCTCCAGGGAACCACTGACTCTATGATTTTTACTAAGTACCTCAGAATGATGTGGAACCATACATTATTTCTTTTTGTGATTGGCTTATTTCACTTAGATGGAATCACTGAAGATTCTACCATATTGCTGCATGTGACAAAATTTCCTTCCTTTTTACTGCTGAATAATATGCCATTTTATCTATATACAACATTTTGATTATGGTGTCCATTGATAGACATTTGGGTTGCTTCTGTATTTTTGCTGTCATGAGTAATGCTGCTATGAGCATCAGTGTACAAATATCTTGCTGAGACCCTGCTTTGCATTCTTTTGGGTAAATACCCAAAAGAAGTGAAACTGCTGGATCATACAATAATTCTCTTAATACTTTTTTGAGGATACTATTTTTCAGTTACTGTAACATTTTACATTCCCATACTATTTTTCAGTTACTGTAACATTTTACATTCCCACCAGTAATGCACAAGGGTTCCAGTTTCTTTACGTCTTCACCTTATTTTCTGCTTTTTTTTTTAAAATTTAAATAATAAATTTTATTTTTATATTCCCCCATACAATTGCAAACGCCTCATTCTGACCCCAATCCCCCCCCTCCCGCCCCCCACCCCCCAAAAAGTGTCTCTGGTTCATAGTTTTTTGTTGTTTTTGATGTTCACTTTCTTTTTTTTTTTTTTTTTTTTTTATAGAGGCATGCTTTATTTATTTGTTTGCTGGTTTGTTTGTTTGTTTTGTTTATACATGCACTGGGTACAGTCAGAAGCGCGGGAGGGCGAGAGAATTCACCAGAGCCAGAGCGGGGAGCAGAGCAGGCAGAAGGACCGAAGCACACTGCTGAGGGGAGCAGCGGGCGGCAGGAGAGGTCTGCGCGCCATGTGGGACCCTCCTCTGGTGGCCGGGGAGCAGCCGGGGATCGAACCGGCGCCGCAGAGGCCGCGCGCAGCTTCGCAACCCAGCGCTCAACCGCTGCGCCACCGGGGAGGCCCTGATGTTCACTTTCTTATATTCATTTTCCTGGTCCCTTATTTAAGTTTTCTAGATTCCTGCTATGAGTGAGACCATCCGGTATTTTTCTTTTTCTTTTTGGCTTAAACAGCCCAAATGCCCAAAAATAGATGACTGGATCAAGAAGATGTGGTACATATACACCATGGAATATTACTCAGCATTCAAAAAAGATAAACACATGCAATTTGCAGCAATATGGATGGCTTTGGAAGGGATCATGCTCAGCGAAATATTTTCTGCTTTTTAAAAAAATTGTAGTCATCCTAATGTGTATGATGTGGTATATCATTTTAGTTTTGCTTTGCATTTCTCTGTTAGTGATGTTTGTCTGGAGGAGACTTGTAACAGTGAAGGGAGAGGTAACAACAGTGCAGCCTTCCTCTATACTTCTGTGATAAGAATCAGCAATCGGTGATGAGAGCACAGATCCCTACTATTTGGAGGATAGGGTCCTGTTTGCCTACCCTGGCCTCTGAAAGCTCCATGCAAAGTAATCCAGGAATACATGCATAGCTGCCTTCCTTGCAGCTGGGGCTGGGCAGTGGGTACCTGCTACTGCGCTAAAAGCTGAAATTGGTCAAACCTGAAACCATAAAATACATAGAAGGAAATATAGGTGAAACACTACGTGATTTGCATATCAAAGACATCTTTACAGACACATCACCCAAAGCAGTGATAGTGAAGGCAAAGATAAACAGCTGGGACTACATCAAATTAAAGAGCTTTTGCACAGCAAAAGAGACAATAACAAAAACAAAGAGAAACCCCACCAACTGGGAGAACATTTTTGCACCCAACACTAATGATAAAGGACCGATCACAAAAATCTGCAAAGAGCTGATGAGACTCAACAACAAGAAAGAAAATAATCCAGTCCAAAAATGGGCAGAAGAGCTAAAAAGAAACTTCTCTGAAGAGGAAATGCAAATGGCCAACAGACATATGAAAAAATGTTCAACATCACTTGTAATCAGGGAAATGCAAATCAAAACTACCATGAGATACCATCTCACACCAGTGAGAATGGCACATATTAAAAAAACTAGCAACAACAAATGTTGGCGAGGTTGTGGAGAAAAAGGAACTCTCCTGCACTGTTGGTGGGAATGCAAACTGGTCCAACCACTATGGAGAGCTGTGTGGAGATTTCTGGACCTACTAAACATAGAGCTTCCATATGATCCAGCAATTCCACTCCTAGGTATTTACCCAAAGGACACAGAAACATCAATTCCAAAGAACACCTGCACCCCTATGTTTATAGCAGCACTATTTACAATAGCTAAGCTTTGGAAACAGCCCAAATGCCCAAAAATAGATGACTGGATCAAGAAGATGTGGTACATATATACCATGGAATATTACTCAGCATTCAAAAAAGATAAACACATGCAATTTGCAGCAACATGGATGGCGCTGGAAGGGATCATGCTCAGCGAAATAAGCCAAAAAGAAAAAGAAAAATACCGGATGGTCTCACTCATAGCAGGAATCTAGAAAACTTAAATAAGGGATCAGGAAAATGAATAACTATAAGAAAGTGAAAATCAAAATCAACAAAAAACTATGAACCAGAGACACTTTTTGGGGGGTGGGGACCGGGAGGGGAGGGATTGGGGTCAGAATGGGGCATGTGCAGTTGTATGGGGGAATATAAAAATAAAATTTATTATTTAAAAAAAAAAAAAGCTGAAATTGGTCAAAATTAACCATAATTTACCTTCCAAATCTTTCCCTGGACGTTGTAAACCTTTAATAGACCCAGAGTTCCAAGGCAGATTTTGCCAGTGTAGTTGTTGGCTCAATGGGGAAACAGATTCCTGGTGCTTAGCACTCTGTCTTCCCAGAATCCTCTTTACAAAACTTTTTGTACTATCCTGAGTTGTGTCATATAAGTAATAGAAATTAGACTCAAAGCCAGGGCAAGGCTTAAAAGTAGACATACTTCTCTTAAGCTAATGGAGATGAGGGGAAGGAAATAATTTGGGGCTAGGTCTCAGAGACATTGGCTCTTAGCTTGCATGGGTCTTCCAGTTCTGGATCTTGTTTATCCTAGGAGGTGGCTTGAGTCTTGACCCTTTACGACATTATTGTCACTAGGGAACTTTTCTGGTTCTACTTCTCTATATGCTCTTTAGGGTGGGAAGACATTGAAGACTTAGTAAAGTTGTACCTGCCTCTTAGCCTTGCCTTGTAATTGCTAAAGCTGCCTTGTAACTTCCCGGTGTCTGTGAGGGGGTTCCTTATAGGGGTCAGGGCTCCAGAATACATTTGGCCCTCTGTACTCTGCCTAAACTTTTCATTATTTTAGCCAGCTTTGTGCCGACAGGGTTGCTCTGCCTGTGGTATATTAGAGCTGGGATAAGCTGGTGGGATTATCTCTGAGCTCATGTCTTTGGTGGAGATTTTGGGGAACCACTGCCAACAAGAGGAGAAGAGTGAGGAGTCAACCTTTTGTGTGGAAGTTGCATATATAATTTTGGAAGAAACTACTGATTAGTTCTCTTGCTACCAGACAGAATTTCTGTGAATAAATGCCAAATTAATTTCATTGTTGCCTTTATCTTTCTGCAGAAAATACCTCAAACACCTCTGTAACCAGATGCCTTTGTCTTTCTGTTTTGGCAGAGGAATGTCTCAGCATCAGGAGTCATCCCTCAGATTTCTCTGATCATGGGTCCATGTGCTGGTGGGGCTGTCTACTCTCCAGCTCTAACAGACTTCACTTTCATGGTAAAGGTAAGAAAGAAGGATCTGTTCTTCCTGCCCTTTGAAAGTTGTACTGTATCTCACCTGCAATAAAAATAATTCCTGATCCAGGTCTGGGTTGTTATCTGTGTTCTCACTGGCTTTCTGCATAGTGATGATAAAGTCTTAGGGAAAGAAGGTTTTGCCATAAAATTTGTAGCTTTTTAGTGTGGTTCAGAGGAAAATATCCTTGTGTACTTCATTGATGAGTGGTTTTCCTTATAGATTTGAACTGTGTGTGATTTTCAAGTTATCAAAGGATCCTAACCTCTGCCCAGACAGATGATTGTTTGCTTAACCTTGGTTAAAAAAAATTCTCATGGAAGACTTCTGCAATTAGCTTTATTGGAATGTTCTTTCTTTCTTTTTTAATTTACGTAATGTTGGTTTATAACTTACATAGGCTTTAGTTATATAGCCTAATAAATCAACACCTGTCATGCTTAATACCAAAAGTCTAGCTTTCATTCATCACCAGACAATGACTCTTTTACCTGATTACCCATTCCTGCTTCCTCCTTCCTTCTTGTAACCACTGTTCTTAGAAAAAAGAGATTTTGTTATTCCTTTGTTTTGTTTCTTTAGTAAATAGAAATGGAACACATATTATTTGTATTTCACATCTGACTTACTTTGCCTTAGTGTGGTACCCTCTATGTCCATACATGTTGTTGCCAATGACAGGATTTCCCTTTTTTAAAAAAAAAATAACTCAGTAATATTTTATTGTACATCTATACCACAGATCCACTCATCTGTTGATGGTCAGGTTGTTTCCAACTCTTGGCTGTTATGAATAATGCTATAATGAACATGGAGGTGCATATAACTTTGAGTTAAGTTTCTGTACTCTTTGCATACACACCCAGAAGAGGGATAGTTGGTTTTGGACTCTTAGTTCTGTTCCAATGATCTGCATGTCTGTTTGTATTCCAATAGTCTGCTGTTTTTGTTACTATTGCTTTGTAGTATAGTTTGAAGTCAGGGAGTGTGATTCCTCCATTTTTCTACATCTATTGAGATAATCATATGATATTTATCTTTGTTGTGGTGAATTACATTAATTTGTGAATGTTGAACCATTCTTTCATCCCTGGAATAAATCCCACTTGATGGTCTATGATCTTTTTAATGTATTATTGAATTCATTTTGCCTAAACTTTTGTTGAGGATTTTTGTACCTATGTTTATCAGAGATACTGTTTTAAAATTTTATTTTATGTTCTTTTTTTGGAATCAGGGTAATGTTGATCTCATGAGTTAGTAAGCTTTCCCTCTTCAATTGTTTGGAAGAGTTTGTGAATGATATTACATGTTCCTTGAAAGTTTGCTAAAATTCACCAGTGAAGGTGTATGATCCTTGCTTCTGTTTTGGGAGAGTTTTGATTACTGTTTAAATTTCTTTGCTAGAATTTTGTTGATTTTGTTTCTTTCTGAGTTAGTTTTGGAAGGTCTATGATTCTAAGAATTTATCCATTTCTTCTGTTCTCCAATTTGATGGCATATAGATGTTTATAATAGTCCCTTATCATTCTTTTTTCTTCAGTATTTTTTGTCATTTTCCCTCTTTTATTTCTCATTGTCTTTTTTTTTCTTAGTGAATAACTCCAGGTTTGTTAATTTTGTTTATCTTTTTTAAGAACCAGATCTTGGTTTGTTGATCTTTTGAATTTTTTGGATCTGTTTCATTTATTTCCACTCTATAAATTTAATTTTTTTCTATTTTTATTAAGAATGACATTTGAATTTTGATAGGAATTGTATTGAATTTATTGGTTGCTTTGTGTTGTGTGGAGATCATAGAGTATTAATTTTTTTTAAAAGATTTATTTATTTATACAAGCACTGTGTATAGTCAGAAGCGCGGGAGGGTGAGAGAATTCATCAGAGCCGGGAACAGAACAGGCAGACTGATGAAACACACTGCTGAGGGGAGCAGCGAGCTCATCAGGAGAGGTTTGTCGCACCATGTGGGACCCTTGCCGATGGCTGGGGATCGGACCAGCATTGCAGAGGCTGCAGGCAGCTTCACAACCCAGCACTCAACTGCTGCGCCACCGGGGAGGCCCCGTTTCTCTATTTTCTGGCTATGTCTTTCAATTCTGTATTTTCATCTTTTTAAAGTTTTTTTTATAAATTTTTTATTTATACAATAGCTGGGGTACAGGCCAGACATGCGGGAGGGTGAGAAGATTCATCAGAGATAGAGTGGAGAGCAGAACAGGCAGACTGACCTGCTGAGGGTAGCAGCGGGAGTGACAGGAGAGATCTGCCTCACCATGTGGAAATCTCCCTGGCTGGGAATTGAACCCATGCTGCAGAAGCTGCAGACAGCTTCACAACGCTGTGCTCAACCCGGTGTGCTACCCGGGAGGCCCCTGTATTTTCATTTGACCTCATAGCTCTTTGAAATATCAGTGCCTCATCCTCTCTTGGTTTTCTTCTATCTCATCTCTTATACTCTTGGCTATATCACTCTTTCTCATGAGTTTAAATATCCACCTATGTGTTGACAACTCTTAAATCTATTTCTTCATGATGGACTCTCTTGAACTTTAGAAATTCTGAATTAAGCATTCAACTGCCTACCACCATTTCCATTTGGACTTTAATGGGTATCTCAAACTTGATAGCTTTTGACCTCTACCAATCCCCTCCCACACTGGTCTCCTGCAGGCTTTCCCATGTCAAGTTAGCATTCCAGTTTCTCATGTCAAACACACTGGGCCTCCCTGGTGGCCTAGGGGTTAAGTCTCAGAGCTATCACCACGATGGCCTGAGTATGCTCCCTGGCCAGGTTGCTAACCCATATTTGGTGTATCAAACTTCTCCTGTCTCGCCCACTACTTGCCTCAGCAGTGTATTTCAGTAAAATCTGCCTGTTCTGCTCCCTGCTCTGTCCCTGGTGAATCCTCTCACTCCCCCGCCCCCCACAGACATACCAGCTCTTCTACAGAAATAGAAAAAAAATCCCACTATTTGGATTCATTTTTTCTCTCCCCAAATTCAGTTAGAAATCGTATTGACTCTACTTTAGGCTATAATTAAAATATCCAATTCCTATAAAATTCTTATTTGTACTATTTTATTTTGATTCAACCATCTGGATATTTGTAGAACCCTAACTGGTCTCCTTGCTTCTGTCTTCTAGTTAATTTTTAAAGTTTTAATCATTTTTAATTATCTAATATAAGATGCATTAAGTGACATACATATAAAATGTACAATTTAGCACTCATTTGAAGTACAAATTCATGTAAATAATACCCAAATCAAGAAATGGTCCTCCAGAAGACCTCCCACACTCTTCCTACTCACTATTGCCTCTGTCCATCCTGCCTAGAATTATCTAAATGTTTATGGTAATATTTTTATTTGCTGTGCTTCACAATTTAAAATTTAATTTTGCCTCACTAAACAAGGCCTATTTTGACCTTTAATATAAAATGAAATCACTTAATATGCATTCTTTTGTGCTTGGCTATGACTCATTATTTTTAAGATTTATCCATATTCTTTGTAAATGTAGTTCATTTTAATAACTAGTAAATTGTCTTAATATACTCTGCCATTCTACTGTTGATGAACATTTATATTTTAAGATTTTGCCATGCAAATAATGCTTATATAGCTTTATTTTTAAAAAAGGATTTATTTATGCATACAAGAACTGGGGTGTGGGCCAGCGGTGCAGGGATAGGGAATGAGAGGATTAATCAGAGACAGAGTGGGGAGCAGAACAGGCGGCTCTTCTGAAATACACTGCTAAGGGGAGCAGCAGACAAGACAGGAGAGGTCTGCTGTGCCATGTGGGATAACTCCCTGGCTGGGGATTGAACTCATGCCACAGTGGCTGGTGATAGCTTGATAGCACTGAGACTTAACCCTTGTGCCACAAGGAAGGCCCTATATAGCTTTCTTACCTATGTATCCTGGTATACACATGTTTCAGTTTTTCAAGGAAGGGGCAAGTAGGTCTGCTTTTATAGGTAATGCCTAATTATTTATAAAAGAGATTGTAGCAGTTTACATTTATCCTAGAATGTGTGAGAATTTTACATCCTTGCCAGCACTTTCTTAACATAATTTAATCATGCCTGTTGTTGTGTGGTGCTCTCTCTCATTGTGGTTTTAATTTACCTTTTCATCATTAATGTGGTTGAGCACCTTTGCATATATTTCTTCTTTTGTGGCTTGCTTGTTCATTTGTTTTGCCCATTTTAAAAGAGGGAGGTTTTTGTTGTTGCTGATTTATGGAAGTTTGTATATTCTGGATGTTAGTTCTTTTTTTTTTCTTTTTTTTTTTCAAGATTTATTTATTTATTTATTCATACAAGCACTGGGTACAGTCAGAAGCGTGGGAGGGTGAGAGAATTCACCAGAGCCAGAGCGGGGAGCAGAACAGGCAGAAGGACCGAAGTACACTGCTGAGGGGAGTAGCGGGCGTGACAGGAGAGGTCTGTCGTGCCATGTGGGACCCTCACCCAGTGGCCGGGGATCGAACAGGCGCTGCAGAGGCTGTGGGCAGCTTTGCAACCCAGCGCTCAACCACTGAGCCACTGGGGAGGCCCTCTGGATGTTAGTTCTTTATAGATTAATATGTTGCACCTGTCTTTTCCCACTCTGACTTACATTTTTTCTTCTGTTACCCTTGGAGCAATTAAAAAAAACCCTGTTTTTGAAGTTTCAAATTTACAAAATTCTTAATCACTTAAAACTGGTTTGTATAGATCATGTTCTTCTACCCCTTAATGCTTTAGTATATAATTATTAAGGATTAGGATTTATATTTACATAACCAGTTGCAATTTCAAGAAGTTTAACACTGATAAACAGTATTTTTTTAAAATAATTGAGATAAGATATAGATAAATTTGCTGTTTTAACCATTTTTAAGCCTATAGTTCAGTGGTTTTAGGTACATTCACATTTTTGTGTAACCTTCATTACCATCTGTCTCCAGAACTTTTTTTTTTTTTTAAAGGAACTCT